TCTCGCCCGTGTGGTGGTCAAACGAGCGACATCCCCGTAAATTATTAGAGCCTCCGTGAATGATAACAATTTCCGGGGCTTCCACCTCGCTGGCTTCGATCTGTGCTTTCAGTTGCTCCACGCGGATATATGTATATATGTATAATATGATGTACGTGTATATGTATTATTTAATGTCTCGGTGTTCGCATTTTTATTATTTAAATAATTTGTAGGTCGTGCCGGCTTAGGTGATTCAAGGCATTAACTCAGTTACTGCAGTGCCTCTGACTTAGGGTTCGAGACCTGAAGGTGGCCGGATTTTCGACACTACCCAGCTAGGTCGGATTCCGCCGCTGTCTTGAGGATAACTCTAGCGGCTGGCTGGTCTGATCGGCAGTTTTCCGGTTTTTTCCCGATCAACTTCAGGCGAATGCCAGAACAGTACCCTAATAAACGGGCGACGGAGCGCGCGCGATCCTTCCTTCCTTTTTCCTGTCTTGTTCTCACCCCATACTTACACACGCTACCCTTTCATAGGCTTCACTGCCACGCTCAATCTATCACACTCACTCATCGGAAGAGCAATCGGGATCTTCGAGCTTGACCCGACTGGGGCAAGTTAGGAGACACCTGATTGGGGAAAACTCCGCTAGCCGATGTGTATGTAGCCAGATTTCACAATCCAGCGGGGGAGATCACAGTCAACTTCGTGGGAAAATATGCAATGCTAACATGCAATTTGCAAAAATGCAAAAACATGCAAACGCTAAATTGAGAAACTGCTCTTTTTGCAAGATTTGGTCAGAAAATCAATGTTAAAATCTGTTATGTTTAGGAAAAAATGTGTGAAATACCAATAACTACAGTTTATTCAGCAATGTTTACAACAACCAAAATTCACATATTATTGTATTACACATTGCATGCCAGTTCATTATTTACACAGCAGAAAATGTCAAGTTTGCCGCAGTCTTCGTAAGCAGTCAACGTCCCTAACCACACCCGGCACTGTTCACTGAGGCTGACATACTTGTCTCCGGGGCACGAACTCTCACAATCACCAACTTCTGGAAGTGGATCACCAACCACCGGTCCCGATTACCAACTGGTTTGCTTGCTGGCATAGGCGCTCGCAGTCCCATTGTCGGCATCATGCCTATGACTCGCCCCTGTGACCCCGTAAGAGCACGCGCCAAATTCAACTGTCCCATTACATCTAGAACGAGATCTTCGCTTGTAACAATGGGTTCAGAAGAGCGATTACTCACTTTGTTTAGAGTTACTTGTATCTTCAGATTTTCTACAAACGTGGTGTAATCTATAGCTCTCTTTATTGGGACCCTGTAGATGCAAAGTAAAATAGTTTTGATTGTAGGTAGATGTATGATAGACATTTAAAAATATATTCAACTAAGTACATATTTAATTTCGTCCAAGAGATAGAATCAATGTCATTTACGAGTATGTAAATACAAGAACCTCCATATGCAGTACCCATATTCGATTCCCTTCCTGTACAATGATTTGCATCAGAAGATAGATATGGCTTCTTCAACTTTCTTTATCTCTACAATAATTATCTGTAAGATAAAAGTTTGGGATTTAGAAAATGCTAAGTCGATTACAATTGTTCCTGGATTAAGGACTCCACCCAGGTTCAGTTGTGGTTTTCGTCCAGTTTCCTAGTGATACTGAGAGCAAATGAAAAAGTTATCTGCAGAATAAAATTGTTCACTGTTTTTAATTCTCTTTTTTCTTTCTCAGATTTTAGTTATTTTAATCACCATTGGCTTTACTGCCATTAGCATTAAAGGAAATTTTGAACTGAAGCAGAAGTTTGACCCAATATGGTTCCTGTCAGAAAAAACACATTTATATCAGTTCATTAAAGAGAGATCATACTATTATCCTGATATGGGACAAGATGCTGGAGTTTATTTTGGAAGTCTGAACTACTCTGCTGAACTCCCTAAAATACGAAATTTAATTGCTGAATTCAAAAATCAAACTGATATATTAAAAGATGTTGAAGATTGGTATGGAGGTTTTGAAGTGTATGTCAACAAGAATTTTAATATTCGTAAGTATGAATTTTGTGAACATAAATGAATACTAAGACTAGAAAGTACATTCTTACCATTCAAATATTGATAATTATATTCATAAAAACATTTACATTTTTGGAAAAATAACTGTTAATTTTTATAAAATCTATTGAATATTCACAGTTAAAATTTTTAAATAATTTTTTTTAACATTTCAAGTTCAATTTTATTTTCTCTAAAATTTTTCACTGAATGATTTCTGTGCAATATGTAATCCATCTGGTTATACAATTTCCAATGCCATGAAATGCATTTCAATGAGAAACACCTTAAATGCTACATCAACGAAAAAAATCACAAAGTTTTACTATTTTTATCCTACATTACTTCAATATTAAATAAATTTGGTTCATCAATAAGTAATTATATGAATGTTTACTCCACAATAGGATTTTCTGTAATTCTTAAATGTATCTCAATTTATTTGAACAATATATAAACATTAATTTAAAAGAGATAAGTTTTTCAAAACTTCCACACACTACTGTCTTCTTAATAGAAAATATCTGATAATTTCATTGTATTGAATTCAGTCTATTGAATGTTGAAGAAAGATTAGTCTAGAGACAAAATATAAATGAAAACAACTTATTATTCTACATTTAAGCTTTCAAATATCATGTTCTCTGCTTGTGTTTTACCAGGTTTACCAGAAGAGAATTTGACAAAAGCCGATTTTCATTATCTACTCTCTAGATACTTGTTTAGTCCAAGTGGAGCAAGTTTTCAAAAGAATTTCCGATTCAATGGGACCCTAAAGTGTGGAGAACCAGCTCCTCCTATCACAGTAAGAATTAACTTTTAAGCTACTTTAGTAGGTTTACCTATTTTCATAAGAATTGAAAAACACAATTGAAGACTGGAAATGGGAAATCCTGAAAGTGCAAAAATCACATGATTTTTTGTGAAACTGCTGAATGTGGCAAGGTGTAACTTGGGAAAAGTTGGTATCAAAAATATTTCCTTGTATGTATTTATGCCATAGTACATGACTTTAATGTATGTAGAAATGCGTATGTTCCTTCAGTAATGGCATGAAAACAATGTACTAAATGAGTAACTTCAGCATTCCCTATTTCTAGTCTTCAAATAATAATTTAGATCAAAAGATTTACTCTCAAGTACTACAATCTGCTATTTGTTTAGTACCCCACATTTCTGAGTGGAAAATAATGTTTTTCTATCTTTACAAAGGTAGCAATAAGCCTGTCTCTTGTAAATTTGAGGTTGAAGGAAAGGAGTCCCAAGATGATTTATAGACAGACACAACTCTTCTCAATTTGGTTTTATTACATCTCTATGTTACAATTACTCAATTGCGCAACAGTTTCAGGGACATCCGAAGTGTTGTGTGAGTGTGGTTTACTGTTTACAAGTGTGTTTTGATGGGGAAAATATGCCCCCAAAACTGTTGCACAATCGAGTAATTGTTACTTAGAGAAGTAATAAAACAAATTGAGAAGAGTCGTGTCTGTCTATAAATCATCTTGGGACTCCTTTCCTTCAACCTCAAATTTTCTATCTTTAACCCCTTTGTTCTAATACTTAAAACTGAATATAAATATTCATGTGCATGGAGACAGTTTTTCAATTTCACCATTAAGAAAAGATTAAAATCATATACATCTTTTTAATCTCATTTACAATCAAGGCTTGGATTTTGATGACAGGTCATCTTTTCATTTGTGCATTCTAGACTTGGCTCACTTTGAAATGAATGTTTATCATGACATGTTGCTGATAGAAATGTAAAGTTTTTGGGTCATTTTTTGCCATTTTTCAATTTTTAGGTCATTTTTCTAGACCTTTACATCATTTTTACAAATATTGTTACCTTCTCATGTTTTTTTGTCAGTTAATGTTTCATGAATTTACAATAACACACTAAAACAAAGTTTTTATTGTATCATCAGTTCATGAAAAAATTGACTACTGTAGAGAACTGTGTTTAGAACTCTAAAAAATTACACAGATGTTCAGTAACTTCCTCGACCTTTCAAAACTGACAGTTGGAAGATCAGAGCTAAGGATTATATTTCCTCCTAAAATCACTTTATATTAAATATTATTTTATATTAATAAATATGCGACATTGTAAAATTCATTGAATAAGTAAACATGTCAAGAAACATTTTAGTATTTTTTTTAGGTAATTTTCCCTTATTTTTTAGTAATTTTATAGATCATTTTCAAAGAATTTTTAGGTCATCAAGGGCTTTCAGGAAAAATGTAACATCTTTTGTATATATTATTATTAATAATTTCACTGAACTAGATAAACAATATTATCAGATCAATTTTGTTTCAATGTAAAGAAATTAATTCTGAATATGAGCTTTATTTTCAAAGAAAATACAGTTCTTTTATAAAAGCATAATTTTTACAAATTGTCATCAACAAATAATTTTTAAACACTCTTTGATTATGATAAATGTTTGTCTAATATTGTTATTGTTTTCTTTATTTTAGATTTGTCCATGTTACAACAATTTTTTAAACATTTCATATAGGAGTTTTAACTTGTATATTTCTTGCCTTATTTTAATTTTTCAATTTCTTATCTTTAATTCCGTTTCTTGAATATCTTGAGTAGTAAGTGTTGTGTATTTGTCGTTTTGTGTTTGATAGGTGTCCAGTTTTGACTTCAAATTCAAACTGTTTCATGGACCTGAGGAGAGCTTACCTGCTATGAACAGAGTGAAACATCTTGTTAAGAAAGCAAACTTTACCACTGGAGATCGTTTTGCTACTGTTTGGGGGAAAATATTTGCAAATTGGGTGACAGATGAAGTATGTCCTTTTATATTTTGGGGAATATAATTCTACCTCAAAGTTTACTGTTCCTATATTAATTATCTGCATTATTTTTTTTATAATGGCACTTTAGGTGACAAACAGAATTATTGTAAATATTTTGTTTGTAATATACTTCCTTTCATCAAAGATTTTTTTAAATGTATTTAAAACTAACTTTTGAAGTCACCAGCTGCCATTTGTCAAAAAAATAAAAATTTAGAAATCTAGTGTATTTAAATTCTTATTTGAGAGTAATACTGTACTTTGGTTGTAATTGTTTGTTGTTTGGTTGGTAGTAATTACAGTACTTTGGTTGCAGGTCATTGACACCGAATTATACCGAAATTTAATTTTGGCATGTGTATGTGTCATGATATGCACAGTTGTACTTATTGTGAACTTGGTGACCTGTTTCTTTGTATTTGTTTGTGTAATGTTAACACTGGTGAGTATTAAAAAATATCCTCATTGGTTTCACTGCATTCATTTATACCTTGAGTAAAGATAATTAATTTATAATAGAAACAACATTTTATGAATAAAATACATTGAACATTCGCTATATTGACCATCCCTTGGCAACAGATGCAAGATTCAGGAGGAACAAGAGAGGGCAACTGCCCCCCAATTTGGGACGAATAAAAAAATATATATATATTTAGATATTTCATGTCGCCGGTCTTCAAATTTATATTACAAAAGATTTACTTTTTACTGTATTTTGAGAAGAAATTTAATAATAATTAAGCAAACTATAATTTTATTAAGCTGAGCTAATAACATACATTAATAAATTGGTTAACTTTAGTATTATAAAATGTGTGGGATAATGTTTAGTGGTAATGTGAACATCCCGTATCAATTAATCTTATTTAAATTATATTTTGCTTTTAAATGTTATTTATTAGAAATAAAACAGTTTCTTTGCCTAAAATCATGAAGTCATAACAACTCGATTAATCTCCCTCAAAAAGAAAATGTATCAAATATATATTGTGAGCAATACAGATTATTAAAAAGTAAATGGTTTAATACAAGCATACTGCATCTACTTTTCATAAATTTTTATTAAAATTAATGTTTTTTAAACAAAGTGAACTTAAATTATTTTTTTATCAAACTGTAGTTTTAAATGTTTATAAAAAATGATTTTATGACAAATTTACCCCCCTCCTCCCCTCCCAATAAAACATCAGAAATCCTGCCTAAGCTTGGCAAAGAGAAGTGCCACATTACTGTTAGTGCATTCAACTTTATTGATACCTGTACAATTGTGTACATGTGCAAGTAGATAGGTGTAGCATATGTACCTAGGTAGGGTATGTATGCATGTAAGTAGGTAACCTGAGTGTGATAACGCCACTAATACCTAGTATCAGGTAACATTAAATCTATGTACCACTTGCTGCTGTTTCGTCATATTGTAAATGGTGCCAGTAACTCTGCCCATTGAAATAAGAAGGAAGCAGACACAACATAAGACTGAATGCTCATCACACTTAAGATTGCATTGACAATATTATCAAGTCAATGTATATCTACTAATTTTTATATCTACTAAATTTTTAACAAGTGACATTATAAATTGTTATATTATCTTTAACTTTTCCAGGTGAATGTTTCTGGTATGATGTATTTTTGGGGTCTCACTATTGACATAGTGTCGTGTATTGGATTGGAATTGGCAGCTGGTCTATGTGTGGACTATGCAGCTCACATTGGACACACATTCCTCACTTGTTCAGGCACACGAAGAGAAAGAGCACTGAAGACTGTAGTGGACATTGGTCCTGCTATTCTCAGTGGAGGTGTTGCCACACTTTTAGCCCTTGCTGTCCTAGCAAATTCAGAATCTTACATTTTTGTATCATTCTTTAAGGTAAGGATTCTCCAGTAAACAATTAACTTGTATATTGGATATGAATAAATGTCACACTTTCAAATTTGGATTTTCAATAATATCTTAGAACGCACACATACACACAAAAGACATGTTATTACATATAAATCATTTTGTTTCAGATTTTCTTACTTGTGGTATTATTTGGCCTGTTCCATGGTGTAGTGTTCTTACCAGTTGTTCTTAGTTTTATTGGTCCAGCTCCATACCAGAGCTCTTGTAATTTAGATGTTCAACTTCAAGCCAACAAGCTTTATGACTTGTGTGACCAAATAAAAGATGGGAAAGAGAAAACTCCTTCTTTTGAAGAGCCAAGTTGACCACACCGAGAAAATAGCTTCAGAGAAAGACATACGTGTCACGAGAGAACTCCAGTATAGTGAATATTATTGGTATGCCTCAGTGCTATTCTGTTACAGAATTGGAGACTTTTGATCACGTTTGTGAAAGGAACTTATTATAACATTACCTTGTTCATAAAAATCTCAAATGGTTTGAATACTCAGTGAATTGTTTGACTTAAGCAGAAGAAGATGAAAGTTTATTTTGGTTTGTTTCAATGAAAGCTTGCAGTTTCTTCTGACCTTTATGTTTAACTCCAACTTTTATGTTAAGCCAGTTGGACCTAAAGTAAATTAATTTAAAAAAATAATTTAATATGCTAAGAAAATACTCAGTTTTTACAAATATTAATAGATTTTCAAAAGTGCTTCTGATCAAGTCTAACAGGCTTGCAAAATAACCGTGAGTCAATCAAAGATAGCATTGATCAGCTTAAAAGAAATAATAACTCTCGAGAGAATTTGCAAATAAAATAAACAAAGTAAGCAAATGGTTACAAATATTTGTCAGGAAATGTGTACGATTTAGAAAACTTGCATATTCTCTCATCAATAGGCTATACATTGTGTGTTTCTGAAGAACTTTGTATGTTCTAGTTTTACAAACTTCTCCAATTACATTTTTTATTAATTTGATGAATTTTTTTCTGGATTTTCATGAGACTGTACTGCTGATTTTTTTCTGAACTGCTAGGACAACACTGTTCAGGAAAAATATTAAAACTAGTTCAGTCATAGTGGCTTTAAAAACAGTCTCAATCTCAGTGTCAAAATACATGAATTTGTCAGGAACATCTAACAAGAGAATTGTTGGATTTTCTAAATGTTGTTAATGTTGCTTATTTTAGAATTTCAATATAAATTATGAAAATCAATTATAATTTTTTTAAATTGTTTCCAAGGTATATAACCTTTGGCTGTCCATTTGACACTGCATCATACTTGTTGGTCACTATTCCCAGCAATAATAAGCATATGATACTATGTGACTGAGACGGCCAATGTGTGATTCCAGCTGCAGAAGCCTATAACTTCATATGATATCATCTGATTTATTCTAAAGATCTTTGATGCAGATTTCATACCCCAGCATTTCTTGTTAGTGAAACAGTTGGTGATACATTTGAATCATATAATTAAACTCTCCATTGCCTTCTTGTATTACTTAATGTTTCGTGATTAAAGCATGCATATATCTCTTAAAATACATTCAGCCACAGAATATTCTTGTATACACAAAATATTCTTGTACAAATACTTGTACTAAGTTAGGTATAATGTGGTCAAATGCAGTTTACTCTGTTCTTTATAATCCTGATTATTATGTTCGTATGAACTAATAATTCAAGACATTATAGTTTTCTTTCTCTCCTTGGTTCTCATTGTTAACTATACTGATTGAAGAACTTCTGTAATTGGTATGCTTTGGAGTCGGTTAACAGTTAACATTTCACGTTAACATTTGACGATGTTTACAGTGTTCTTTATAATGTTTGATCAGTTAATCCAGGTTCCTTAGTTGTGCATGAAACATGAATAGCCAAGATTTCTTTAAGGAGAGCATGACTTTCACCCACTCTCATACTATTCCATCTTACTCTATGAGAATTAAAAGTATGTATAATATTTGGAGTGACTCACAAAACCCTGATGCTGCTGGTAATGTTTTCTTATTGTTGGAAAATTACAGGGGTGTAGTGCCTCTGTGAACCAATATGGGGGTCATCCATAAATTACATAACACAAATTTTGAGCATTTTTGAATACCCTCTCTCATATCTGTAACATATGCTTGACCCCAACAAATAATTATGTATGCGTGTGACAACACCTCCCCCATTTACAGGAAGTAAAAATAAATAGTATAATAGTAAAAACAATTTCTTTTAATTTTATTTGTTATATATTAAAATTTATGACAGTTTAATCCAGAATTATTTGGCAATACTGACTACATCTCACCATAAGATTGGGGACAATTTTTAATTGAAGGAAGAATGCATAGGTGAGAAAATTTCTAACAAGCCTTGCATCCACCGTGGATGACACATGGGCAAGTGTCAATAGCACCAATTTATTAGAATTCTAGATTATACTATAGAGCAGTTTTGAATATGTTCTTAGTAATCTAATAGATTCAAATAACATACTATTGATGAAAAAATATTTCCATTTATTACAACAATTTATGCATTATAACTTTTTAATTTATTTATACTTTTAAAATTCAATTACCTTAATGCTTTATTGTTTTAGTATGAGATTGAATAAAAATAATTATTTCAGCAAATGTGGGAGGGGGGTATATATTAGTGTCCCGTAACATTGAACTAACATCCCCCTTCCCCTATGAAATGCAGTGCCACTGCCTCAAACTACCTCACTTCTTCTTTAGTGTTACGGAATTTATGGACAACCCCTATGTTCATGAATGTATAAATCAAATATATTTACTTTCAGATTTCCTATTTCTTTCACAGACTAATTAGATATTTGTTGGCTCTTCTTTGATTTGAAAAATGTTGCAAACATTTATATAGCATGCTCTCCCTCATTTGTTCAGCTTTTCACCACAGATCTTGTACTTTTCATTAACTTCCACTTCCCATATCCTGAACTCTACACATTCCATTCACTTCACCAAAAGTATTGAGAAGCATGGAGATGGAACTGTGTTTGCAGAGAATGTTCAATCAGATTACATTGTAGATGTTCTGATGTTTGAGATTTTCATTCTTACCATGCAATTCTCATATAATCAATACCACTTTCATTATATAGTGTCATCAAAACACTAAATAAATTCATATTTTCATTAATATCACTGAGCCAATTCATGATTTCTTTCTCTCCACACTTTCTCATTCTTAATATGAAGAGAGATAAATAGCCTGAAAAGGTAACTAATGAGCAAAACATATTACTTCAGTTTGTGGTGCAATGGCTCCTGTATTGTCATTCTCAATAGATTAGGCTAAATATTATTCTGTATTACACACTCCAATGATTTTAATTTGATCTACTGCATTAATGTTAATTGATGCAATACTTACTGTGGACTGAGAAATATACAAGTTAAATTCCTTTTGGAAATGGAATATTAAATTTTTTGAGTTTTTGTTTTTTATCCCATTAGTCTGAATATTTTTTCTACATTTTAGAATACTAGGCATTTTTGAGATAACTTGATGAAAAAAACCACGAATAATTTAGATGCAGAAATGTACTGTCTATTCAATAATCAATATTTTTCAAGCAATTACAATGAATAGCCTACATTCTGCATTAGTATGTTGCATACATGAAGTCCAGGATGGGAACTGGCTATCCTTGGTTGTATGTCCCTGTGACTGAGAGGTGATCTTTTCTTTATTATATTGAGTGTTTCTGAAAGCAAAATTCAAAATAAGTGAGGATAGAAATCCAAAATCAATATAATTTCACAGATCATGCATGTTTTAAATCATACAGCATTTTTACAGGGCCTTAAACTGAATTAAGTATTAAGTTTTTTGTCACTTGCTTATTTTGTTGCTTATTGCACACAGTCATCCATTACTTTCTTCAAATGTTTTCTCTCAACACTCAAACTGTGGTATATAGGGTCATGTAGGATTATTTTCTTTATTATAAATCTCTTTTTCATTTAGGAAAATATGAAAGAACAAATAAATGAATTTGATTATTTTCTAACTTCTGTTACAAAAACATTGATATGCTCTGTTATAAGGCCCTCTGAATAATTGGACTAGGAACTTCTAGTATCATTATTATTCTATTTGTTCTAATTGTTACCTTTTTGTTATATTATAATTTATTTACTAAAATAGGGTGGCCAACTGTCAGAAGTCAACAAACCATGAGAAGTTAAGGCAATTTCATAATGCTTGGAAATGTCAAGGATTAAGAATTTGTGCTTTTACATTGCATTTGTTGAGTAAATCTGATATCTAATTTCAGTTCCCAGAAAAAATACATACAGTATTAAACAATGTATGGATTCTTTTATTAGTATTTTTTTTTTCCTTTTTCAGTACAAAGCTAGTTCATGTATGGGTACATTTTCTTATCCGAACCATAAAGGCAAGGAATAACATCCAAAATAAAATTTCATCATGGAAATGTAAAGATTTTCAATCTTTGAATTTGTTGGCCTTCGTGTGTTACATGCGAATACTTTTACTTTTGCATAAATAAAAGTATCATCAAAGAAGTAACAACTGATCATTTGGATTGAAAGCTGATGATATTTCTTCAATGTTCTTCACTGAAAACAACTAATAATTTCTTTGCAAATGAAAGTCAGGAACTAAATGATTAATTTATTAAAACTTTAATGTGGTCTCAGCATTTGATGGTGAAATCATTGTTCAGTATGTTGGCCAATTCAGGAAGCTGATTTTATGTCCCCATTTGGGGTAGATGCTGAATTAGTGCATTTGTTAATTTATACTTGAGAGACGATTTAATGTAAAGTTTTGTAAATGAATTGATATCATGGAATCACTTTAATTGTAGTTCCAAGATCTTAACCTATAAAACAGTGAAACCTGTAGGAAATGGCATCACTGGCAGTATCTCTTTGAGACTCTTGCTTATTGAGTGTAATTGAATAAAAATCATATAATTGGAGATTTTTTTTTCAAGAAATTCATATTGTATGTGAATATTTATTGCAAGTTTTGTCCTTCTTGATACCTGAAATGTAATCATATTCTGAACAAGCTACATGCATAAATGGAAATATTTGAAATAACTAAATTTTACTGTAAAGAATGATGAATATTTATTGCCATTGTCAAATTATTCAAGAACAGAAACTTGAAATTAATCTTGGTCATTGAATATTATGCATCCATTAATTTCTGCAAAGTTTCATTCTCAAGAAACACTTAGTATCTGCATTTGTTTGTAATAGAAGCAATAATCTCATTTTAATCTTTCCTATTTAAACACATGTGAAATTATTTTAACTTTGTGAGATTGTTGTAGATCTATTAGAATTATTACAAACAAATGAATTTGTCCTGTTTTGATTTGGCTTAGATATTTCACCAAATACATAGAGCATTTATGTAACAATAACTACTGTAAAATGTATGTCTCTTTTCATCAAAACTTTCTTCAAGAAAATGGTGTCTATAAATTGTTGATAGTGTTTAATTTATGTACAACAGAATTTGGAATGCATAGATGCATCTGAAGTGGCCTATGGATGTTGACAGAAGCTCAAAATCATTCATTTCTCTTATAGTATAAATAATTCTCTTCAACTTACAATGACTGGGTTCAAGAGGAATATTTCATCGATGTATAGGTTCTTATAGCCAATGTGACTTACTTAGGGGTCCAATCATTATATTCTGGCCTATATTATGATAAGTTACTTTACATTTTCTTTGTAATTGAATTTGAATAAATGCTCTATTTTTAAAACCAAAGGCACTACATGTACTTCAAGGAAGTGTTTGACAAAAGTTTTTTTTCTGTCTCATGTTCTGAATGTGGTACATAACACTCTTTTGTATTAAGAAGATATTAGTATGCGATATTTTAATGATTTGAATAGATTGTGAATGATTTACATTAAATGTTTGTATTACTACTTAATATATATTGATTATTTGATATTAGAAAAACAAATACACCAATGACATTGTACAGTTCTTGAATTATGATGTACAGGATTTAACTATAATGCATTCATTATGAAGACAAATAAAGAAAAGAACATTATTTTTGAGATTTTATTGAAATGAACTTTGATCCAGCATTTATTTGTATAATGATTGCAATTAATTATTATAATGACTATTGTTTATAAATTAGCACTAATTAAATCTTCCGAATATTATTAAACATGGGTTTAAAATCAATTATTTATTTTAGCCATCAGAACGTTAATATCACTTATTATTTTACTAGAAATTAAGGGTCTTATATTTCTGTGATCTGATAACAGCAGAAACAGGCCTGCTAGTAGAAATGAGAGGAGCAACAGTCAAGCCCCTAAAAAGCCTTTATTTCACATTCATTACAATTATCAAATCATCAACAATTCCCTAGAAAGGAAACTAATCACATGTGTGAAAAAAACCTTGTCTTAAAGGCTCTCATACAAAATTACTAATTGAATTATAATATGAAGAAACAGAATAGCTCAAAATCATCATGATTCATCAGTTTGTCTCAGGTCCTTTTCCTTTTCGATGTGGTTTGTACATTTCACTTAATAATTTTCAGCTGAGCTGATATTCAATCTCCCCTTTTTTTCTTTTCTTTTTTCTTCCCAATTGCCTTTACTGCTGATTAATAGTGTTTCATTGAAACTCAAAGCCATCTTAACGAATTTCGAGACCCTGTACAATTTGAGATTGATTGATTGATTGATGCTTCCGAATATATTAACCGCTGTAGTCATTAGTTCCAGAAGTACTCAAATGTTTTTGTGCGGTGTTGGTGGAGTTCCTCCCCCACTGCAGGTGCGTGCGGGTGCAGTGTCTCTAACCAATTGGTTCTCGGGAAGCAGTGGGTAGCAGGATTTTTGACACTAGGTATACAGCGATTTATGCATCTCTGCCCCTGGCAGTACCGGCTGTTGACGGTTTCATCCAATCTTGAAGATCACCATAGTGACGTCACTATGATGACGTTCAAGCTCCCAATTGGATAATAATATTTATTGAGTCTTATATACAATTACAATACATCGTGTATTATCGTAAATTACATCATACAATCATGTATGACGAGTCAGTATGTCTTGTGTGGAAAGAGCAAAGTTACATTACAGTTCAGGAGCAAAACAAGGGGTCATCTGAGCATTTGCTCAAGAGACCAGGGAAACTGAAAAAAACATGATCGAGATGGGGTCATTGGCCTAAGGATTATATTATAATACTTGCTACAGATAGATTGAAATATTATACAGTACGTAATTATTTTTAGTAGCAGATAATTTAACATTTCAATATGTTATTGACATTTTAATGCTACTTATAATAATAATAATAATAATAATAATAATAATAATAATAATAATAATAATAATAATAATA